ATAAATAGAAATACATAACTCTCAATTTTTTTAAAGATTCCAAAAATGGCTTTAGGCAAAAACAAAGTTTTCCTATTTATCAGAGAGTAAAATATTGTATAATTCTTTAATCAGTTAACTGGAATTATCAAATATACTCGTCATGAAGAAGTAGCAAAATTTTGTGTATGACGAGTATTCAAGATTACATTTTTTTAGAAGTAAAAGCAGAAATCAAAACATACTCTCAAATTCCTCCAAATATTTTTAGACTATGTCGGTATAAAATAAATAGTTGAAGGATTTTATTTTGAATAGCAATTTTTGAAAAAAAAAGAAAACATAACATGTTCTCAAATTCCAAGATTTTTAGAATATTTTAAGGTAACGTCGGTATAAAATAATTAGTTGAGGGATTTTACCTCACAATAAATTTTAAAAAAAATACCTTGAAACAACATTTTACATCCATTCTGATGGCACACAATTGTGTGAACAGTTCAATGTAAACGCCACAGTTAACTGGCTAAGTACAAATTGATTTATTAAGAAAAGTTTATTAAGAATTTATTAAAAACTGTGCTGAATATTATTAATAATATATGTACAAATAATACTCAAAAGAGATCAAAATGACTAAGCAAAAAACAAAAAACGAAATGTATGGTGTCGTAAATTTTGCAATAATTTGCATATTTACTATAAAGTCAACTAAATATTATTTATTTTTTTAATAACTAGTTTATTCTTTCCATCATTTATCAAACCATAATCCTAATCAGAACTATAAGAGTAATATAACATAGCAAATTAAGAAATGAATGAATAGCTTTTAATAAATATCATAAAGCTCACGAAACTGAACTCAAAAAGATCATTCAACCATTAAGTTTTAAAGCTGAAATCTTGAATACACATTAAAAAATATTACGAATGAAAATATACAAATAATATATATATATATATATATATATATATATATATATATTTACGGTTTACTAGGAAGAACATTTATTCTAAAAATCTTTAAAATACGATTTAAATTTCATATTTTATGATATTACTTTCGAATATACTTCGCTCACGTGAGTGCGCGCAACCTGTCAATTTCGATAAAAATAAAAACGCCCAGAAATAAACTTCCACATCACTTGACTTCAGCAAATGCTTTTAAAATTGAATCACTTTTATTCAGATTCCATATATGTAAAGACGAAATATATAAAACACTTACGAAAACTCTAGCAAATAAACTTGCATAATACAAACGCGAAAAGTGAATCGTGTGATGAAGTAATCATGTAAATAGAAATCAGAAATTTGAACAAAATAATAATAAATACATTGTAAAATTATTAAAAAAATATTTTTAATAATTTTACTTTGAACTATTTTATTATAAAAACAATAATACATATCAAACACACAATCATCTGACTATCATCTGAATCATCTGAAATGTGTTTTTGCTGTTTTTCAAAAATTTGTTACACAGTCTAATATACTTTTCCTTATTTTAAGAGGATTTTACAAAATAATACCAAAATTGAAACAATTTTTTTTCCAAAAGCTATTATTTTCTTGAAATAAGCAGAAAGTTTTTTGCATCATTCAAATTGAACGCTTAGTTCTCTCAAAAACTGTCATTTTTTGTACATTTAGCCTTGTATCTTCGAAATAGCTGGATCTGCCTTTGCCAAAATCTAAGCACCTTTTCTCGCAATCATTACAAATTGAATGTTTGTTAGATCATTCAAATCGGATACTCCGTTCTCTCAAAAACTCGATTTCTAATTTCTGCACTCTTTGCTCCGTATCTCCGTAACGGCTGGACCTGCCTCGGCCAAATACTAATCAGCATGTCTCCCTATCAATAGGAATCGAATGTTTTTTAAACCATTCAAATCGGTTGATCCGTGTGCCCGAAAACGTGGGCGAAAAAATGCGGACATACAACACACACATCCATTTTTTTTTAGGTATGGTAAAATGTTCAAAACGTGAAGATATGCAAAAATATCATGGGTACATTTTTTACAGAGGTAACACTGTATATCACCTTGATCTGATATTTCGTCAAGTAAATAATAAATTCAGAGGTGTTGAAATAACTATTTATTTCACTTATCTATGGTAAAATTAACTTAAATTACTTTTTCATTCACAATTTTTTATTGTTTACACCTTACACAATTAAATAATGTATATTCGAAAATTATACCTAGGTCTCGTAAACTAAACAACAGTGCTCAGAACCAAAAAAACTAATAACGAAAGATAATACTTTTGTTAAAGATTTTCAAACGTTGCTATTTATCTCCCGATAGCCACGTCGTAATAATCAATGTGATGGCTGATTATACATCTTTTTCCCTCTACTTTCAAATATTGTTGTTTAAAAATTCGTAACTTTACTTGATTTTGAGATATCGGTGGTGAACCTTCTTAGCCGCGGATCTTCAAGCCCCGCTCTACTACCACAATTTATATATTAAGCTACAAAAAATGCAAATAAATTTGCCATTAAGGACTACATATTTACAAATATTGAGCATTTTTATGTCTGTAAGTAGAATTTAGGTTCAATCCATGGTTTTAGTATTCGTATCGTAACTCCTACCTACGTACAAGTTACGTTCGTGCAAAACTTAATGCAAGCGAACCGGTTTACCTCAAGGCTTCTAGAGATGTTCTCTTCTGGCATCTCTAGATGCTAGTTTACTAGGAAATTTCCTGCAAATGAATCCAATTTACAAGATCCGACTATGTAATTTCGATGGTAACGCGAATTTGCAAGGTCCCTGCAGCCATACAACATACAACTTCAGAAACACACCATAAGATAATTAAGAATGTATTTAGAAAAGGCAACTGATGTGAGAAGAAAAAATCATGAGAGGAAAACTTGGAGAAAACAAGTTTGATGATGAATAATATTTATTACCAGGTGCAATTACCACACTAAAAAGCATTTCAATATATTTAATTTTATTTATATTTTATTTATATTTAATTTAATTCAGAAAATATAAAAATATAGCAGTTACAAACTAATCGGTTTTATTTTGTCACGTACATAATATTCTTTTATAATTATAAGGTGACCACATATTTTTCAGAATTTTGTTAATAAGTTTAGATAAATTTTGGAAAATATTGGCTTGTCTGACTAAAACTTGTTCATGAATTCACAATATCATGTGTCTGTAACTTCCTACATTCGTTATCCTTATTAAATAAATACTGCTTGTGCAAAATAGAGAAAATAAAATTTTAATTTGCAAACACCATTTAATTCACAAGTATGTATTTAAAAAATGATGATTCTACGTGTGCAATCCCTCAAAACCCTCCACGTATTAATTTTGTTGAAAGTTTGTAGGATGCTCTTAGAAGTTTCAATATAAATATTTTTAACACTGATGTATTGCTATATTAAAACAACAGAAACTTTTAATATTCACAATAAATATAGATCAAGAGCTTCGCAATAATTTATGATATTTATGTGTATATATAGTTTGGCTATAAATTTTCTTCGACCGTTTAAATACTTATGGAAAAAGCATTTGCATAGTTTACCATTTATAATTATTGAAGGTAAGTCTTCAAATAAAACAGCATGTCTTTTCATAACATAAATTGTTAAGGAAGAGTAATTGTTTGAACAAGATGCTATAATAAATATTAAAAAAATACCGTAATTAAAAAAACAATAATAAAGTTATTGTCGTTATATATTGGAAGATTTCGTTACCAGAGTGAACCATCTCAAAAATCGGGGCAATATGAACCAAAAATAATATTTATTTCAGTCGTTAAATGGCAGCAAAAAATCTGCTGCTCTGGCTCTAAAGTTGTCTTGCGTTTTACAAAACCAAGACTTTACTATGAGGCTTCTACTTCATTTATATAACGCAAAAAAACGAGTAAAACGATGTAAAAATAAATAGGGTAAGTAGTATGTAAACTACTTGGAAATAATATAATAATATTTAAAAAATAGAAAATTTTTTGAAATGCTTTAATGGCATTCAGTTCCATTCCGAAATGGAACGAAAAAACGAAAAAATTCCCAATGATCTTATAAATAGCCATTTGTAACCGCTAACATTATTGTTATTATTATTATTATTATTATTATTATCTTATTTCTAATATTGTTATTTTGTTATATTTTATTGTTTTTATAGTATTATTTTATTATTCAGAAATTTTATTTATTTTATTTATTAATTTTATTTTTATCATTATTTGCTTTTATTTTTAATTAAATCATCATACAACGGATATAATTTTAATATAAATTCTATCCTTTGTACTCTTATTTATTTAAATTTATGTTATTATTATTATCATTATTGCTACATGTTATATTATTTAACAGTTGTAATAAATATTGTAATTAAAAAAAAAGTTTCATTTTCGATTGTCCACTCTGGTTACCAATTCCTCACATATATTATTTACTGTGTTTATGTGTGTAAATACATAATATTTAATATTAATAAAGATTGCAGCCACGAAGCAATCATTCGCACTTTATTAAATACTTTCATCAATTTAGATAAAGAATTAATAATATCATTCAATTATCAACTATAGTTTTCTTCTGTTAAATCAAGTCTACAATCTAATGACTAAATTATTTCGTTAACGAGAATCAAGCGTACTGGGTTACCAAAATTGAAATAAACTAAAACAAATGCAACATATAAATTTTGTCAGTTTTGTATAAATGTGAAATTTTTGTCGGTTCGGGTTTGATTTATTATTTACAAAAATTGTTCAAGTAGTTTTTGAAAATTCGATTCCAACAAGACAGCACCCTGACAGCAAGCAATGCAGGCATAAATTTCTGACAAGAGCGGCACAGTTAGTGGGCATCTATTGCCTTTTATAATACATCGATATTTTGGATATCAATCAATATTTTGGTTCAGTGTCGATACAAAAATTTAGAATTTTATATAATCACCTAAAGGAGATTTTGCAGTGAAATAATTGTTAATTTACTGAGAATGACAACTCCAGCGAGACGACGGTTGATTAGAGACTTCAAAAGATTACAGAAAGATCCTCCACCTGGAGTGTCGGGAGCTCCGACTGACAACAATATTATGGTATGGAATGCAGTAATATTCGGCGCACACGATACACCGTTTGAAGATGGCATATTCAAATTGACAGTTGAGTTTACGGAGGAGTATCCAAATAAACCACCAATGGTACGATTTGTATCAAAAATATTCCATCCTAATGTCTATGCAGATGGTGGCATATGCCTAGATATATTGCAAAATAGGTGGAGTCCAACTTATGATGTCTCAGCCATCTTAACATCCATACAGTCTTTACTCGGTGATCCGAATCCAAACTCACCTGCAAATTCCATGGCGGCACAACTTTATAAAGAAAATAGACGGGAATATGAAAAACGGGTCATGGCGTGTGTAGAAGAAAGCTTTATTGATTAAAACTATATGTTGTTGTCATCTCTCAAAATCATCAAAGGATTGGTAGGACTGGTGCTCCATTGGCAAAACTGTTATAGAGGAGCAATTATCAACTGTCAATCTTTGGATATGGAATATCTATCAACAATTATCAGCAATTATTAACTGTCAACTATTAATATTTGTTTAAATTGCAAAAGAGGCAGTGTTGTTTATAAAATTTTGGAGGCCAATAACAATGTATGTAACATTCAGTAAAATCTTGTAAAGTGTTAATTATAAATAAAGTGCAGTTTAAAGTGTTATCAAATAAAGTGGTTGTAGAAAAACTCTCTCTTTCATTGCTATCATAAGTCTTTCAGCCTATACTTCAGGAACAACTCAGCTCTGAAGAGACAACATTCAAACCAGTGGCCGCTCGAGTCACCAACACCAGTGGCAGGTCAATCTTGGGTTGCCAACCTTTACCCATAGTCAGCTAGACGGAACCAGAGACGACCAAGAGACAAACCAACCCTTACATCATACCCATCTTACATTTCAATTAATAGTCAGTCTCAGTTCAATTACGATAGCAATCAGTCTCAATTATATTGTAAATTTTGCCTAATTCTTATGAATATACTTTCAATAAATGTGTACATTTCAGTCTCTTTATTTATTAAAAATTTAATATAAATTAACAAAAAAAATTATAAATTATCATTATCTATTTGGCACTTTTGTTATTATTATCATTATCTATTTGGCAAATTGGCACTACAGTGCACTGTAAAATAGTGTCTTGTTAACTTTCCGTAGGGTAAGTTATAGTAATCGCAAAAAAATCGAAAATGAATTTTATATATGTTTACGTTTCAAAGGTTTCTGAATATTTTGGCATACCATAAAATAAATGGATGTATGTGTGTGTGTGGGTGTATGTGTGTGTATTTGTGTGTGTGTGTGTGTGTGTGTGTGCGGATACAAATTTTCGTCGACGATTTCGATCAACTAATTTGAATAATTCAAAAAACATTCGATTCGTATTGATAAGGAGACGTGCTGATTAGTTTTTGGCGAAGGCAGGTCTAGCCGTTCCGAAGATACGGGGCAAAAAGTGCCAAAAATGGTAACTCATTTTTTAAGAGAACGGAGCGTCCGATTTTAATAATTCAAAAAACATTTTACTTGTATTGACAAGGTGAAAAACTGATCAGTGAATTCTCATGAAGGCAGGTCTAGCGGTTTCGGAGATCTAATGAAAAAAGTAAAAAAAATGCCATTTGGCTGTCAAGAATGATCATTAGACATATGCACATCAAATTACTAGATATTTTATAGAGATTTTAACAATAAGTATATCCGTTATAAGTTTATCCGGTATAAGTTTATCCGTTAGACGGCGACGCGGCGCTTACGCGCTTTGTCATTTCGTCTCTATAGAGTTAAGCAGTACGATTGCTTTGAAAAAAAGTTCAGAATTTCCAAAATATGTCAAAATAAAGAAAACATTTTTTTTCAATAATTTTTTTTTTTCAGAAAAAAGTAATTTTTTGTCAAATTTATAGTTTCTCAAAAATCTAATTTTTTCGAAGTCAAATTTTTTTAAAAATGTTAATCGTTTTTAAAAAAAATAATAATTTTTGGTACGGAAAGTTCCAGCAATTTGCCTTAAGGCACGATGCCATACAGCCCACTAGTTTATGTTTATATTAAGAAATGTTATGTATATAATAAAGAAAAACAAAATCACCGAAAACGATTTCAATAATTCTAAGCATCAGATGCAGAAACAGCTTATAATTTCTGCATCTGACGATTCTGTAGTATATAATCAAATGTGTTTATTTGCATTCTGCAATCTACAAATTCGCATGAGACATATAGTATAGATGTTTGGCAAATAATACACATATAGTGAATAGGTAGGCGTTTCGAATCATTGCGATGTACGAACGGAGTATGAGAAAATTATGCATTGCCTTCTGATGTGTACATACCTGACATGCACGCCGGGCCGTGTATGGCAATTTATGTGTGAATTCGTGATTACTAACGTATTAAGGTGAAATTACATTGGATATATAAAATAACTGACAAATCTGGAGCAATGTTTGAACAGTTCGAAAAAAAACGTAGATGGACACTAGTCTGCTTCATATGATAAGTGTAATTTTATATACACTCGCATTTTTTTATATATTATTTTTGAACAGCAATCAGAACGTAATAGTCCTATAAGATTTTGACTTAATACAGTCAGTTGTCACATCTCTGTATGATATATTATTATTACAATTTCTGTAATAGAGCGAGTATTTTTAATGGTGCAGCAATGCCCGGTGAGGGCTATTTTCACTTGGAAACATTGCTATCTTTACTTCGAAGTGAAAATCGTTGTCACTGCTGCCTGGCAACAGGCTGCTCGAAGTGGGTATCGATTCCGGGACCTCTAAAACAAGTCCCGTCGCTCTTAACCGCTTACCTACGGGCAAGCCCTCACTCGCATATAGAGCAAATTCTGAAGTTTCATATTAATATCAACGAAAGCAATGTTATGTATTTGCTGTGCACACCAAAAAGATGCACTTATGATAAGATTCTTTTGTGACGTTTGACGTTGTAGGTCAAGTTTCTTGTCTAAAACGACTGCAGGAACGATATAGAATTTTGACAGATTTTAGTACCATTTTATATGAAAAATCGCACAGTAATTTAACCTTGCCATAACTTTGGTCTATTTTACGGTAGATTTGGCCCATTAACGTTTGTATAACAACATAAGAATATCTAAGACTTAATAATGCCGAGGGGCACATTATATAAACCTAGACAATATTAGAAGATGATATATTCATGTTATATAAACGTTTTTACTTGAAAATAAAGATTGAGAAATATGTTTATAAATGAAAATGGCCTTGGAAAATTTGGCACTATGATGTAAAATTGCAATGATAAATCTCTCACACTTTACATCCCTGGTACGAGTTGGGATTTAACTTTGTAAGGTAAGTCCTGTATTTTCTTGCATCCCGGATTATTCTAGAAATATTATTTATACGGATTCGATTTTTTTGTTCCGGAATTTTTGAAAAGTTTCTTATTCTCAATATTTATTTTAAATATATTCCAACTAGATTTATTTGACAACACAAACATATTGAAAGTGATATCACGTAAAAATTTAATCATGAAAATATGAAAATATATTTTTTTTAACTCTGTTTTATTCATCCTGATTCACATAAAGATTCCTATAAGCTAAATTGACAAAAAATAGTATGAAATTTTTAAAAGCAAAAACTCATTGTTACTGGTTGTTAGTAATTCTGATTAAAAAAAATTTAATTCATTCAAAATTTTAACTGATTATTGCTTAAATCTGTTATTGTTAGTCCTTTAATAGTATTTGCTATAAATATTTTTTATTAAAAAAATAATTGATAAAATCATATTTAAGTTTATTATTATTATTTATCAAAATTATTACTCTCTCCCCGGATAAATGCTCCTGGCCAGATTTTTTTGCTTTTTTTCAACAGCAATCAGAGAATAAGAATTACATTGTCCTATTAGCTGTTTGTTTTTTATGACTTATCCTAATGTTATTCATGAGAGGCAACCCATTGGTTAACCATTCTCCTATGTGTAGCGATTATATTAGCTCTTATGGTCTAATAGTTATATGAGTGTATGTATCAGCTATGTCTACCAAAGGCAATTTTCCCTTGAGTTTATATTTGAAATCTATAACTTCAAGTTAAATGAAATGAAAATTGACTTCATGCTGGGCTTGACCAGAATTTAAAGTAAAATATATCACCTTTTGTTATAGGTTATTTATTTATAGGTTTAACTTATTATAGGTTCACGCATGAACCTGCGCTTGGCTAAGGATAAGATTTTTTGACTAGCCAATTTTGTACTCAAATGAAAATCTTTCAGATTAGGTGGTAGGTAATAAATCTTTGCACATATTAGATTATTATAATTCGTTGCCTAGCAAGAAAAATGAGAAAATAAATGTATGGATGGGGTCATGAGTTCGAACCCTGCTAATGACAACCTGACATCGTGCAGCAGCAATGTTCATTTTTACTAGATCAAAAATATGTTTCTAATAGAAAATAGCTCGTTTCGAGCACTGCGGTGTGAAATGGCAATGGAAAATCTCTCACACTATTCTTTGCTGAATCGAGTAGGAGTTTAACTCAGCTCACGGACCTGCCCTTGGGCAGTACCATCCATTTTATTTATTATAATCAATTATAGTCCACTAATTAAACCACGTGATTCTCACCAAGTTGTGCAACCATTACAGTTCTTATGTATGATCAAAATAACCCATTTATCGATACACATATAAGATAATATATTTAATCATAAATCACGTATGTATATGCATTATGTAAACAAGCTACCGACTAATCCTTCAATTTTTTTTCTAAAAAATGGCGGAATGTCAGATGCATCATTTACTCCTGCTGCCATGCATGTCGATAAGATTTTTTTTAAAAAATAAAATAAACACGTCTATTTCAGATAACATGCGTTTCGGATTTAAATCCAAAATCGTTATCAGACGAATGATAATGTTTCCAGTAGCAAACACGGCACTGATTCCATGTAATGTAACAACCCTTATTCCGAGATGCACGTGCGCTTTTGTGTTTGCGGTCTGCGGCCCATGCTATTCTATGATAAAGTCCCTCAGGGGATTACATTGGACGTGTATGGTGTAATGCAGTAATTTAATGAAAGATCAAATTATTATGAATTTCTAACCCTCATTGAAACACCTGAAGTAAATTGCAATGTAATGAAATAGATATGATACAAAGTGTGAGAAAGTATATTCTGATGCATAATATTATTATTTCAGAAATATATCTTTACATACATAAAACATCATAAATAGTTTAAAATCTAACAATTGAGTAATATAATACATATTCAAAACAAGTTGCACAAAATGAGATTGAACAGTTGTCTCATCTCTATGTGATCAATTTGATACAACTTATATTTAATGCAAT